TTTTTTAATTTTTTTTCTTTTTATCACTTTTATTATTGTTAAAAATAATAATATGAGCTTTTTAAATTTTTAAAATAAAAAGAGTATGTTTTAAAAATAATGCCAAACATAGTTATTTTTTAAAAATAGAAAACAATTTTATAAAACAAATACAAACATTTTTTCATTCTCTATCCAAAAAAACATGTTAGAATTTAATGGATTAATAACTAAATTTATTATTAGTTATTTAATAATTAAATAAGTTAAAATTTAATTATATAATCTTAAATTTAAAATTTTCTTTTATTCTCTAACAAATTAAACAATATATATTTTAAAAAATAAACTATTTAGAAATACAATGTCACCAATTATATTTACCTAAAAAATAAAACTAAGTTTGACATATTTAGGTTAGAATTATTAATTAATTTACGAAAAAATGAATGAAATAATTAAAAAAAGTAAGAATGTTGAATATGGTAATAACAGAGGAAAGTGAAATTTATTTAATTTATTTTTTTTATCTTTTTATCCTCCAAAGGTACAACTTTTTGATTTTATTCATTAATTTTATAATGAGAGTGCATAATTTACTAAAATTATGGTGTTAAATGCTAAAATTATAATGTTATCATGCAAAGTACTAAAAAAAAATTTTTTTAAGTACAATTTGCAAATTAATCTTAATATCAGGATTAATATCACATGATATTAATATCAATTCCTCAAAATAATCTAACAAATGTTAAAATCACTGAATCAATTTCAATCATAAAATACAATGATCAATGCATACTTAATTTTTTTCTTTCCTTTCCTTTTTGGAGAGGGAGGGGAGTTTTTTAAGGTATTTTAAAATCACATTTGAATTATTTTTTGCTCCTTTTATTTTGTCTTTTCATAAGCACAGAGGCATGCTAGAATCCACTTTATTTCATAGAAAAATGAAAGGTACGGCTAACGTGGGTGCAATCAAGTGTCACGAACACGTTAGGTTTTAGTATAATAAAATTTTGTATTGACCATAAAAATGATTTAATACAAAGTGAAAACATCAAAAAGCTAAGAAAAAGGTCTTGGAATGGTTATCGAGAGGTGATGGTATCGTTATATAGCCCCTGTTCAGAACATCTGTTAACTAAAAGATAAACACGAGTATGAGAAGGTCACAAAAGGTCCTACTAACCCGAGGAGGAAAAAGGGTGCGGAAAGGAAAGCAACAGCCTCCAAAATGAGAAATCATCCCCACCATAGAATAGAAAAAGGGAAATAAAAGTAAAACAAATTCCTCAATCTGATTATAATCTGTAAACAGCAATAAAAGGCATCAAGACACTGCCAATCCACAATTTCCCATCCTTCTCCTCCACTTCACTAACTGCTTTAACAGCCTTCCCTTGCTTGTCTTCCAGTATCTGCAACAGCTTTCCTTCTGGGCTGTATTTCACAATGACTCCATGCATGCGCCCCCCTATACTGAGGAGGTATTGAATCCTTGCTGAGATTGGTAGCTTTAGAAGGAAGTATCGAACTTTCGGGTATAGACCGCATAGGTAAGCATATAAGCTGCGGCGACAGTGGATTGCTACCCAAAATTCACCCTTTTCATTTGTTCTGACATTGTCAGGATATCCAGGTAGGATAGCCATAACTTCGGAGGTCCCTGCCTTTTCATCTTTCAACCAGTACTTCTGTAATCTATACAAAAATATTCGAAGGTAAATCAAAATGCCAAAGGCTCTAGAAAGTAGTTAATAATAGTATGTTTCATCATCAAACAAGGTAACAATTTTGGTAATTTTTTTGAAGGATAACTGCTAAAAGCATCGTCAGGTAAGATTTAAGTAGTGTTACCAGTAATCTCAGGGTTCAAGGAGATATTAATGTGGAGAATTGCAATGCATCCTGAGTTGATTATTTTAACTGTCTTCTGAAAGTTATATTAAAGAAATAATTCTGGGTTTACTTTTAAAAATTTTTCATGTGATATTGTGGATTGTGCTATTGATATTCACTGTTGTTCACAAAGTGATCTCTTCAATCAACAGATATTGAGTGTGGATTCATTGAGTCAAGAACTTACTGTCTTTTCTACATCAGGAGTGATCCTATAGAGAACTATAGTTAAATAATAGACGCATGAGTATTCATAAATAACATACATTAAACTTTAGTTGTTTGTTTAAGAAGGTAGTGATATCAAGTAAAAATTGGAAAAAAAGACATTCAAGTTAGATTGCTTTTCTGTGGATATGATAAAAATGTGCAGATTCCCTAAATTTTCTTCTGAGCAGGTGTTTCCTATGGATACTTCTCAATAATAAAAATATGCCAAAACCCTTGTAAACCTTTTCTCCTCTTTTCCCTTTTATTCCAGCTGACCTAGCCACCAGTATCACTGATAACTTCATTTCCCAACAACAAAAGGAATGAGACATGCAACTTACAGAAAATACGACTCTCCCATTTCTTCCCCCAATACCTTTTCTATTCTTTCCCTTCCCCTTTGTATACCTCAGTATCTGTTTAACTAGTAAAAAGATATTGGATCAAATGATAAAGACACTGTTGAGAAAAAAGATGGCTTTTCCCGGATGAAATGAAAATTGGATTCATGTTAGAGGAGAAAGACTCCTTCTAACTCCTGTAACTTCTTCGTAGTTACTCCCTTACATGCCGCCTCATTTCATAGGGAACTTCAAAGTGGCTCTATTTCATTACCAGTTTCATTCATTTTGTATCCCTTTGTTGTAACAAAATTTTTTCCTAATACCTCATAAGCCAATCCCGTGGCACCAATAAGCCAGCACTAAATGAACTTATATGCATGCAAATAACTATTCAAAAGTAGTTCCAAGCAGATATACAAGCAACCCTTATTGACCCTATGTATGGATGTTTACACATAAATTTATATCATAGTATCTAAATATCTTATATGTGTATCACCTTGTCATTACATCACCTGTGGGCACTGCAGTAAATCAGATTCCAATTCCATATTCACAATCCTTCCTATTATCAATTTCTTAAATTTTATAATCATAGATATATTTATAAGTATAAATGGAGACAGAAGATTCGCGTAGCACATCCCACCTAGTTGAGAAACACTAAGTTGACATCAGTATATTGATTCTTTAATCTTCTTGACTACAAACTAAAAGTATCCCAATTGCTTTGATTCCCTTACAAGCAATTTTGATCCTTTAATCTACCTGTATTATGCATTAAGTTGAGCTGTTGTCAAGATGCAGGCCTAACCTGCCTTGCAGAGAGGCTGTAGCAAAGGCAGCCAAAAGCAAAGATTAAAGTTATGAAGAAAGTAAACTGGTGAAATCTGCTTCTATTACTAGATTGTAAGGAAAAGTATAAATCCAGTAAATCATATGGATAATGTAGAGAACCTTAAACACAAGTTGCACAGGCAACAACCATGAGTTAGTAAGCCACGTAAGTCTAGCAAATGTATCAATCCAGTATATCATATGGATCATCTACAGAACCTTAAACAAAAGTAGCATAGGCAACAACCATGAGATAGTAAGCCATGCAAGTCTATGATGTCATGTATGCATTAATTATATGACTCCTTCCTGGTAAAAGTTTGAGTGAAAAGAATTACCTGCCACTAGACCCTTCACAGTAAACAAAGAACGATCCATCCTTACTTAGGGATAATCCATTAGGAAACTGCACGTTCCGGGCAAGGACAGTGGTTTCTTTGGTACTGGGATTATATTTCAGAACCCTCCCACTATCTTCTGCTGAGAAAACTAACTGCAAGAAGTTCCTGAAAAAACATGCCACGTAAGAAAAGATATTCATAATCAAAAATAAAAAGCAACAAAAAGCTGCAGGTTAACTTATCCATAAATTTATATGATCTGCACTATCTCAGACAAGGAGCTCCTTTCTGCAAATCAAGCAAATATTTGACCTTGCCTTAACACATGGTTTCTTTTGCCTCTTAAGTAAATAATAGAGGCTAAGATAATGGCAAGAAGTTCAGAGTAGGGGAAGCATATCAGCCAAAAGATATCCAGCAGGTCCGCTAGTAACTCAACTAATTAGAAAAGTGAGAGAATAAGTACTCAACTAAACCAACAAAGCCTTTAGCCAACTACATGGGGTTGGCTACATTAAAGCTAGAGAGGTAGTCATAAATGTAGTCTGGTCAGAGCTTCATGGTTAATTTTGAAGGAGAAGACCTTTACAATACAAATTGAATAGTGAAAATAGCCTATTATTGAGTTCATTTCTGAAGGACTACATATAAACAATCATGTGAAAGAAGCAATACCATTGTAATTTCTTATTAGTTTACATATGCCACAATTTATGCTTCCTGCTTCACTTAGACACAAAACATGACTAATAGCTGTTGATATTGTTTTCTTTGGTATCCAAAGGAACCCCCACCCCCCCCCCCCCAAAAAAAAAAAAAAAAAAAAAAAGAGGAAGAAGAGAGAAATAAAAAAGAGAATCAAACTAATATGGTTTTCCTTTTAAAGAAACTACATATAAAAATGAGATCTTTTGCCATAAAAAAAGATCATGCCCTTTCTCAAATCCTTGGTTCAGAAATAGGAAAAAAATAAAGACATATGCCTCCCACTTTCTTTGAACCAGCTACATAAATCTAAATTTCCACTATCTATGAGCCACAATTGGGATATTTCATCCCATCTAGTGGTCATATACAATCACTATGTAGTTAATACAAAAGCATCAAGGTGTTCCCACCACAGTATCTTTAGTGTTGGCCCATCAATTTCTAGGCTCTTATCAAATTACAACCACTACTAGCAGCAACGTAAATGAACACGTTGTCAGCATTTCTTAAATGGAAGATGATTTAAAAAATAATAACAACTTTACCTTCTTTGGTACTTGGTGCTGCTGTCCGTGAAATATACATTTCCCTCTTCATCAATGTCTAGATCATTAGTGAACCTAAATGGCACTCCTTCAACCTCAGTTGCTAGTGATGTTGCCTGTCCACCTTGAGGCCCAACCTTCATCAGTCCAAAATAGGCGTCTGCAATATACAAATCCCCAGTTCTTTTGTCAAAGCGAAGCCCCAAAGGCCTGCCACATTTGTGCTCATTCTTCAGGTAGCTCAAAGGAGATGGTTTTGGATCACATATTTCTGACCTAAATCCCAAATTAATGGGGCAGAAGGAGAAAAAAGAACGGTAAGTTCAGAGAGGTTGCTGAAACAATAATTTTACCAGACATGGAATCCCTTGAAATTAACAAGAATATAACATCATTTAGAAATGCTTTTTCAAACAAAAAAGGAGCAGCCTGGCAAAAGAGGAAAAAAAAGAAAGGAGAAGAAAGCTCATTAACCAGGATAAATTTATTCTTCTAGTCAAATGATGCTGTCAACAGATTTTTATTAGAATTGAATCTGAGGTTTCTCTCTAGCATAATAATCTCAAATTCCAATCTCATTCAACCAACCCCTTTCCTCTGCAGGTGCCATGGACTGAAAATGCTTACTTACATGTGTGAGTGCACGCCTGCATGTCTGTGAGGCGCATGTACGTCAACCTTGCTTTTAGATCAGAACATATTGGCACTAACACAAATCACCAATTTGACTTGCCATGGAGGGGAAGAAGCATAATGGACATTTTTTCAGGTTTATGTGTGGTAAAAGCAAGCAAGACTTTAAGTTTCTAACTTTCTTTAGAGTTTGCTTCTTTTATTTCCTTTCTCAATTGGTTAAGTCATTTTCAGCCTACTTTCTTTCCTGCTCTGTCAAATCCAGAAAAGCCAATAATGTTGTACTCCAATCAAACATACTAAAATATTATTAAAGACTCCATGAAGGATCAAGTCTACTAATAAGCCAATTAATTGATTCCTAACTCATGAGATTCCTAGAGCAGAAAATAGGTTTTTTATGACATCATTTTTCAAATTTATCCTGAACACCATCAAAGCCTGAGAAGAAAAAGATAACCAGTAATCATTCTTCAAGTAAGCTATCCCAAAAAATTGGAATTCAATTGTTTTTCTAAAATATGAGTCTTGGGGGAGAAAAGCTAAGATATTTAAAACTATAAACTCAGTTGAATATAGATATCTAGGGAATGCTATCAGTAGTTTCAAAATCTCATTGACTCATCTCAAAACAAACCCCACTTACATAACCCCCAAAAAACACAAATAAAAAACAAATACATCTGTATGATTAAATGTCGTGAGAATTGTCTCAGAGACCGAACTGCAGTATCTCGGCGAGAGGGATTTCTTCCTAAGAGTCTATCCCCCGACTGATGTCCAATAGAAGTTGAGTATGTCTAGGCATTGATAGATCCACACCAAATTACTTAAATCTAGTATAGATATACCAGGAGGTAGTGACTGTTTATTAAAAACACAGAATCTTCCAAGTACTAACATGATGTATAGAGTCTGATACCTGCCCCGTTGAGCTTCTCAGTGCATTCCGAAATAAGCAATAAATTTCTTGATATTCTTGCTAATGGTTTTATCCACCTACCGGATGTCCGACAAAAAGTTGAGTACGTAGCCACTGATGGATGCACAACCGAATTAATTAAATATAGTATAGACATACCACAGGGTAGCGAATGTTTGTAAAAACACAGGACTCTGCTAAGTTCTAACACGATTTATAGAGTCAGATACCTGCCCAGTTGAGCTTCTCAGTGCATTCCTAAAGAATTGATAAATTTCTTGATATCTTGGTAATGGTTTTATTGATGGCCCAGATGTCTGATAAAAAGTTGAGTATGTCTAGCCATTGATGGATCCACACCTGAATTGCTTAAATCTAGCATAGACATAACAGGGGATAGCGATTGTTTATTAAAAGCACAGGACTCTGATAAGTGCTAACATGATGCAGAGTCTGATACTACCCAGTTGAGCATCTCAGTACATTCCGAAAGAAGCCATAAATTTCTTGATAGGGTGGACCAATAGCTGTTATTGTGTATTTAGCAAGCACTGGAATAAGCACAAAAGCCATTTGCTTCTCATTAAGAGAAAGAAGTTCCTAATGACAACTAACAAAATACTATAGTGATCCCTTGAAGCAGCCAGATTTCAAACTCCTTCAGCATACTTTTCAATTCAGTTGGAAGTCTCCCAGAGCATAAGAAAAATGTCAACGCTGTTATCTTCCCAACCCAAAAACGGCCAACTTGGTTTAAATTTTAATCTTTTCTTCTTTTTGCAGATGCACAAAATGATGCGTCTCGCAGGTCTTTGCCTCAATCACTTGTAGGTCGAAAGTCTGGTATAATATCATAAAACCCACTGGAAGCTTAAAAAAAAAAAAAAATAAAAAATGAACGAAATTGTGGTTTGAATGGAGTGATTTGATGAAAAATTATTAGAAAGTGTGAGATTGAGTAGATTTGTCACGTTAGGATAGCTTCTAAGTAGCGAGTCACAACAAGTATCGGTGACAAAAAAAAACCTTCCATAAGTTTCACTTTGTTCACACCAGAAGTGGTAAGATTTAAGAGAGAAAAGATTAAGGCAGTTTACAACTTAATATCACTTTCCTATCTTTTTTCTTGGGTAATCTAACCAAACAAGATTAGTGAGAAATCAAATATTCTCATTTTTCACCTTTTCTTAGCCTGCAATTCAAACGAGTAGGATGTCCTATCTGTGTAGATATTATTTTCTTTTCTACAAATCGTTTGTTATACATTTTTCCACCAATTCCTACCCAGTGTGACATTTAATATAAATCATCCAGCAACAAGCAACCAATTGAGAGAAACAGTAACCTCAAAGAACTCACCTATTAGGCGAAGTATGAGCAAAATAGGTCCAGGAATCGCCATCCCAGAACAATATCCGGCCGTCAGCAACCCCAGAGTAGGGTCCACGCCCCTGCAGGTCAAAGGCGACGCTTTCAGGGCCTTGAATTTGATTCAGAAACTTAATTTCCGACTTTTGTAGCAAATTCTCAGCGTCTTTCTCCAGAGGAACCTCGGACCATTTGGGCATGTCAACCGCGTAGGCCGCGAAGTCCGGGAATTCGGAGATGGCGCTGTGGTTCAAAGGGTCAATTCCGCAATAGAGAGCCAAGAGGAGGAATGCTCCGGCTAGGATTCCGGCGGGCCTCATGCCGGTGTTCACAAATCGCCGGAGAAGAAATGGCGGTTCAATAATGCAGAAGAGGAGGAAGGGTGGGTTTTGGTGAGTTATAAATGGTTTCTCACCAACCACAAAGCTATTCATGCACAGTTAGCCCGAGTTTTAGAAGGGTAGCTAGTTGCAACTCACATGAGGTGGTAGGTAGAAAACATTAAACATGGATTCAACTACGAACACCGCGAGAACTTCGCCCCCATCTAAAGGGATTTTCTTTTGCTGATGACAATACACAGAATGTGTGTGTAGCGCGCCTATATATATACATATAGAGAGAGAGAACGTATGTACTTACTTTCTGTGTCTTGTCACGTACAACAACCGGCATGGCTCAGCCCAACCGAACCGGGTTAGATCGGTTCAGTAGACTGGTTTGTTCAGTTGAGCCGGATTCGGCCGTTCAAACCAATCAATTGTCTAATAGACTGGTTTAATTTGGTTATAAGAGTTTTACATCGGTTTCAGGGTTTAGTGAAATTATTTAGTCTGGTCTTGGGGCTATTAGCCGATTCATCCCACTTTTGATGAGTATTAGGTTGGTGTAATTCAGTTTTGTAGTTTATTTAACATGATCAATCCAGTTTTGGAATTTTAGGGCAGGTTTAATGGTGTTTGAAATTAGTTTAGGTTGATCTAGTGATGTTAAAGTCAGTTCAAGTTGATTAGTGGTGTTGAAAGTTGGTTCAGGTCGGCTCAAATGTATTTAAAGCCGGATCAAAGACATTTGAAATTACTTTAGGGATAATTTAGACTAGTCCAACTTAGCTTAAGAGTTTTTATATGAAGAACTATGTTAAATACAAACAATATATATATATATATATACACATTAAGAATTTAAAAAATATAGAATTTTTATCATTTATATGCACCTTATATATTCATCAATATGTTACTTATGTTTAGAAATGTACATTTTACGAATTTATAAGAGGAGAATATAGACACATAATATGTGCATATGGGATAAGTTTGAGAAATTTCACTAGAAAACAAGGGAGTGACATTTTTTCAAATCTTAAATTTTTGAAAAATGACTTTTTATGACAAACCTAAGTTATTTCAAATGTGTATGTTTTAATATGAAAAGCAGAAACGGATTAGTTATGTTATCCTTTTCAATTTATGTTTTATTGTGTTTTGATACTTAAATTTTGAAATGTTGGGCAGTCATATGAGCAGTGATAGTTCTACGTAACTTTAAACCTAGTTGGGGTCTCAAATACTAGATACAGTGGTGAATCATGGTACAAGTTGTGTAGCACAGGGGCACCCAAAGGATTTTGCCCTAATGAGGGGTCAGAGTGTAAAGTCCCATAGTAAAAAAAAAAAAAAAAAAGTAAAGAGATCTGAACATCCTTAACATTCAGATTGGGGGTTTAAGGTATTGATTTGGCCAATAAAATGAAAAATTAAAGCATAAGGATGTTATAAATAGGTTCGATTGAACCTTTAGAATGAGAGATTCCACAAAATTTTAGAAAATTCTTGTTAAAACTCTATTGAATTGTTTGTTCTTCATTCGGGAAAACAGTCTGCCACATTCGATTGATTTTCGAGTGGAAGATCCAGAAATTGGAGGCTCGTTGGCTCGATAAACCAATTGTGGATTGTCGCCTGGCCATTTTGATTCGAGTGAAGCTTCTATCTCAAATTTGGCTGAGATTTTAGGCACAATTCTTGCAAAATTTTGTTTCAGGTTTCTCGTTGAAACGAGCAAGGAAGAACTAACCCGTTTTCTTTTAGGTCAAGAATTGTTAATGGGATTGGGCTGCTCTTTGGAGTGGACTGCACTTTGACTTGGCCTGCCCTAGACGGTTCTGGGTCGATGAAAGATTATTAGGTTTGGACCATGGCCAGTGGGCCAATTCTAGACCAGTGAATAGTACTAGGTTAGGGGATCATATCCAAATTCCAAATCCGGCCTAGTAAATAATTAAATAAAAAATAAATAATAGAAAAATATAAAATAAAGCAGAAAATAAGAAAAATCAGCCAATTCAGTGATTTTTGGACCGGTTTCTGGCCGATTCAATGTATGTATAAGAAAGGAATAAAATGCTTTACCTGGTCACGGCCGGTTCAAGAGAAAACTGGCTGGTTCAAGGGTGAACTGGCCAGTCCAATGTCAAAGAAATTAAGAAAAAAATTAGAAAACCAGCTATTCAATATATTTATGGCCTGTTCAAGGCAAATTCTAACTAGTTCAGTGGTTCTAAGTCCGGTTCATTGACTTTTATGGCTGATTCAATTTATTTGCAAGGGCAGTTCAGTGAGTTTTAAGACTGGTTAATGATTTTTGAGACCGGCTCAGTGGGTTTCTTAGCAAGTTCAATGGTTTTATCATTGGTTCAACGGGTTTAATCTGTCAGAGGTTCGGTTCAGTTTTGTTTTATCAGTTCGGGACTTTAAAATTCCCGAAATGGCTTAAAACGTGAAAATTAAGAATATGTTTGGGTTTTTAAAAGGAAATTAGTTTTGAATTAACTTGGAAACATATTACGTTCTAAAATGAGCATTTTGATTAATTCTAGATTAATTGGTTGACTTTCAGGAAGCTGAATTGCCGAAACTCGAGTTTCGTGATTCTTAGTTTCTGTGAGTTATAATATATTATTATATGTTTAAATGTTATATACTTGTTTAAAATTCTAGCTTTTACAATAATTGAGAATTTACTTGAGTTATTATCCAGTTAAAGTTAAATGGCTACAAGAGTTACAAGGGACATATATGTCATTTTCTGATTTGTTAGAAAAACTTTTGAATTTTTGATTTCAAGCATTAATATATGTTTAATACTTTGAAAAATTGTAACTTTCTCTGTTAAACTCTGATAAATGACTTTAAGGAGTATCGTACTATTAAAATACTGTACCTAATGGTAGTAAGCGTTAGACTAGATGCACCTTGACCTATATCCCCAACTAGTAGGGATGGTACTAGACTATACACGTGTGGCTAACGTGGTAGACCTATTTATTGATTATCGATAGATTGCGAGTCACCGTCCTCGCATATGTATATCGGCACACCATGAGATTGCTGTCCTGTTTCTGTTCAGTTCTCGGTGTCGAACTACCCAACTTGTACAATTTGAAGACTATGTTTTTATGCTATGAATACCTGATATATGTCTCTCGTCGTATAAATTTGTATTATTATTCACTGGGTCGATAGACTCATTATTTATTTTTCAGACTCAGGTTTGACCGTACTGACAGATCCAGCGGTGTGAGAGGGTTGATCGACATTGGTTTTCCTACCTCCTATTGACCTTGTTTCTGAGTATACTAGTCAGTTCCTGTTTCCTTATGATGTACTATTTCATTTTTGTTTGCTCTAAGATCACAAACAAGGTTTCAGTTGTAAAGACATGGTTTGGTATTATTTTGTATTTAGATTTTAAACTCAAAATTGTGATTTTTCGTGTATTATTAAATATTGTACCTGAAAGGCTTGTAGGGTTGGGATTTGTTCTAACCTAGTGTCGGTCATGGACTCGACTCCCAGGTCGTGACACAGAGCTTTATACGTTTTTAACCCAATGGATTTATTTGTTATGTATACCAGATTAGAGTTAAATACATACATATATCATGCAAATGATTTTCATGATTCTTTATAATATTTTATATTTATTGCCCTAATATATATTTGATGTTGGGATATGGTAAGCTAAACTGTTTTGATGATGTGTCTCATAATTTTAAAGTTTTTGATGCTTAAATGAATTATAGATGTATATATATATATATGTATATATACATAATACACATAAATATATATATATATATATGGTATAAAAGACCTACATGTTTCCACTAAGTGTAGTTGGTAAGAACGCATATTGTACTTGAATGATATTTCACCGTATATAATTTTTAAAGAAACTCTCAATTCCCCTCTTTTTATAAAAGAGCCAATAAAATACATGATTTTTATGATACAGGTGTACATGCACAAATTATACCGAATAATATTTTTCGTACGTAATTATATTTCATTTTTATAAGAGTTTGACAGGATTATTGTAGAGATTTTCTGTCAATACTAAAAATGTATGCATTTTGAATTTATTAGTCATATAACTTTAGAGAAATTGAAATATTTTTGGAGTTATATAAATAAAAAAAATTATCACAAAAATACTTGACGATCTTATGTTTTGAGAATAGATACAATAGCAATGGAGCCATATTTTTATTTAGAAAAATGAGATATGAAATTCATTAATTTGAACAATTTTAGTGAATTTTTAGATTTTATTACTTATGAGTTTTATGAAAATATTTACCTATAAGATTTGATATTTGAAAATCAGGAAATTACTACTACTATTATTAGTAAAAATAACTTGAGTTGGTTGAACATTTTATGTTGAAAGTGTTTAATATATTCATTATGTTGGATTATTAAAGTTTTGGTATTTTTGGGTTATTATTGTTAATAATTGATATTTTTTAATCAAGATTTAATATTTAAGTTTTGATATACTTATTTAATTTAAAGTTAACTTGGTACATTAGTCGTATGTAACTTCACTCGATCCTTTTTTAATTATTAATGATTTATGTCATATAACAATACAAAAATATATATTAATGTATTTTATTTATAAATCATTATATGTTTTGAAGGAAAATGTAATTTATGTGTGAAAAATGTATTTAAACAAGACTAAATAAATGAATGAAATAACACATTTTTATTCTATATTTTTAAAATTATCCATAATATAATTTATTCTTTATATAATGTAATTTAAACAAATTTGTAATTTTTTGCAAATAATTAAGTGCAACTTTTATAATACACACACACACACACACATTATACTCGCACCTATTAAGTGGCATAATTTATCCATCTCGTATTTTACTAATTATACCACTAAGTTTAGACCATATGTGATTCATTGAGACTATAGTTTTATTCTATTTTAACATGCAAGTGTAGAGCATTCAAACAAC